GATTACTTTAACGGCCTGGGCATTTTCTTTGACACGTACCCTAATGGCAAGCACGACTTTTCGATTCCTTTCGTCATGGGCATGATTGGCGATGGAAAGACGCCCTATGACAACGCCAACGACGGCGACGCGAACAGGCTTGGCATGTGCGAGGCTTACTTCCGCAACCTGAAGGAGCCCACCAGGGCGTCGGTCACCTACTTGCGCAACCAGTTCGTCAACCTCCAGCTGCAGCTCCAGCCCGAGGACAAGTGGATCAACTGCTTCACGATTACCAACGTTACCATCCCCCATGGCTCATTCCTTGGATTCACTGCTCTGACTGGCGATATCAGCGACAACCACGATATTATCTCGGTCCATGCCGAGACCCTGCGTGCCGATGCACTCAAGAACTACAACCACATTCCCAATGTTCCTCTGCCAGTCCTGAACCACTCCAAGGGCGGCTCGTTCTTTGGGCTGTTCTTCAAGCTCCTTATTGTTGCTGGTGTCTTTGGCGGTATGTTTGTCGCTTACAAGAAGTACTCGGCCGACAGCTCCAAGCGGTTCTAACATTTTCCACACCCTATCCTTCAATCCTTTGGCTTTTCAATATACCATCAGCCACAATATGCACCAGTAGCGCAGTGGTGGATTTTTCCTGCATGACGTGTGCCCCCCTAGTCCTCTGATGCCCCCGCATTCTTCTTTTGCTCGCCGCGGCTTTCTAATTAAATTCAACCTTTCTTGACTCCACACACTTTCAAATTGAGACATGGTCGAGGTATTTGGCTATTTTTCCGTTCAGCCTGACTGGCAGGTTGATGTCAAGAGTGCGCTCGCTGGCAACGAAGGCGCGCATAAATTCTGGGTGTCCGCGTACAAGCAGGGGCAGCCGTCCATCCATGATACGGTCACCGTGACCAGGTCAGCTTCTGCCGATGGCACTAGCCTTATCAGCCTTGATACAGGCGGAGCTGGCGACATCACCGCCGAGTACATTAATCCGTACCAGCTTCGACTATCGAGCCAAAAGCTGGGTATACCGCCAACAGTCTACACTGCCTCGCGCAAGTCTGTGCGCTGCTCGCAGATAACGCGTGGCTCAGGCGTGCAGTCGTTCGATATAAGCAGGTATGGAGGACTAGCTGTTGCCTGCGGTGATGATGGAGCGATGGATGTGTATGAAACCGAAGGCAGTGTGCATCGGGTGCAGCTCGAAGGCCACTTTGGCGATGTCACCTGCTGCCAGTTCTTCCCTTCAGGCCAAGTGGCTCTTAGCGGAGCAACCGATATGCGCTTGAAGATCTGGTCTGCCAGCGATGGCACAAATCCAGTCACCCTGGTGGGCCACCATGCGGCTATCACCGATACATCGATCGTTGGGGTTGGAAAGAACGTTGTGTCGGCGTCTAAGGACGGCACAGTGCGTCTGTGGCACTGCGGATCATCGTCGCTACTCCACACATTCAGTGTTTCAAAGCTGCCCATCAACCGCATCGAGCTAGTGACTTGTTCACCCACGTCTGATGCCGGTGCTAATGCTGAGCTTCCGCCAAACGAATTTGAAACCAGTGGCGTTGTTGTAGCTACTGGCTGCGAGGACGGCCGTGTGGTGCTTCTTGATCTTCTCTCCAAATCCACTGTTGCAGTGTTTGGGTCCTTGCAACATGCACCAGTGCGTGCTGTTGCCTACGACGTCTCTCAAGGCCTTATATTCACTGGTCTATCGGATGGTGTGGTAGAACTGTGGTCTGTGGATGATCCGTCAACACCGCTGTACGCATTGAAACGCAACGATTCGCCCGTCACAAACATCAACCTCGTGCGCAGAGAATCGGGCTCGCCGCTTGTGTGTGTAGCAACTGAGGATGGCCAGCTGTTCCTTGCATCATTCACACTGGCTGCCGGACGGGTGACACTTGCGGAGATTGTAGAGGACCTTGTTGGCTTTGACGTCGACCCTATAAGCCGCGTCAGAGTATCTCCTTCGATTGAGAAAAAATACGGCCGCCAAGCCATTTGGGCGTCAGGTCGCGGTAGCAGTGTTTTTGAGTTCTAAGGTACATTTCTACAATAGCTATATAAATGGAAGGCTGCCTAATAATCTATATCGTGCCGGGCTCTCAATTTAGCTGCTGAGAAACTGCTCAAAGTCGGCATCCATGTAGGAATCCTCCAGCTCAGCCTTTGAGATCTTGTCGCCCGCGGGTGTATTGGCAAGCGGACCGCTCAGATCAAGGGCCATGTCCAGATCGGCCATCTCCTTTTCAAACATTGCAACATAGTTTGGCACACTGGGCTCCGCCGGCTTCGTTATTTTGTGTGTGATCGGCGTGCTGGGCTTTGCTCGCTTGCTCTCTGAGGCATCACTGGCAGCATCGTCGCCATCGTCCGCCAAAACACGTTTTCCTAAAGCCACCTCTGTCTCCTCTTTCTCCTTTGGCTGGGCTTGGACTTGGCTGATCAATGGCGAAGGCTTTGGAGTAGAAGCCGTAGACTGAACTGCGCTGGCCATTTCAGCATCGCTCTCAGACACAATCGGAGAAAACCCCGCTGCAGCTTCTTTTGCGGCTGCTTCCGCCTTCTTGCGCCGCTTCATCTCCATGATCTCTTGGAACGACCGAACCTTTGGAACCGATACTGCAGCTGCCTCTGGCTTATTCATAGTAGACTCCTTGCTGGCTACAGTCGCGTTGGCAGCCTTTTTCTCTTTCTTTTTCGCAGGTTTCTCCTTTTGCTCCGGTGCTGGCTGCACTAAGGGCTGCGATGTGGTACTGATTACAGCTTCCGCTGGGCCTGACTCTGGGCCTGGTATCTGTTCTGCCATGTGGGCAGGGCCGAGGATCTGCTCGATTCCATCTGTGGGTTGGCCGCTGCTGTGCAGGGATATTGATTCAGCAGCTTTGGCGGTGACCGGTGTCTCGTGGGTGCTTTCGATCTCACTACTGTCTAGTGCTGCTTGTTTTCCAGTAGCATCCGCTGGAGACGGCGAAGGCGTGTCTACGTCTCCAACAACATATGATGCAAATTCCGAAGCATAGCATACCTTCGAAACGGGAGAGTTTGAGGCAGATCGGTCTGCTGAATCAAGCGCTTCATTAGTCCGGTGCGAATTTGCTATCGCGCCCACGTCGAACTTCTGGGAAGGCGGATTGAACGCACTGCAATTTGTCCCTGTCTGGACAGCTGTAGGTGCTGTAGGTGCTGTAGGTGCTGGTGGTGCTGGTGGTGTTGGCGGTGTTGGTGGTGCTAGTAGTGCTGTCTGGCGTGTTGCACCTGCCGGTCGAGGCTTTGGAGTTGGCACTTTGGGTGCTGCCTTGGAAATACCCAGGATATCGTATATGGTCATGACCTTTCTGTGTTCTGGCGCCTTTCCTCTGAAATCCGGCTTGGCGGTAGCTATGGCGTTCGTTGGATTCATACCTGGTGCTGCTTTTGGCTTTGCTAGCTGGGCTTCTTCGTTTTTCGCTTTTTGCAACCGCGCTCGTAGATTCTGCTTCTGATCGCTCCGCACAGGTTCCTGGTTGGATGCTGCTGCCGGTTTGCTTGCAAATGCGCTGCCCATCGATGACAGCTCTGTGCCGAAGGCTGATTTAGTGCTAAACGATGCCGTGCTTGGTTTTGGTGCAGTGGCAGCATCCACCTCCATGTCTACATCATTTGAGGCACTAGGCGAAGAACGCAATGCTGATGCAAAGGAACCCTGGCTAGCAAACGCACTGCTAGTAGCGCCTGTGTTGAATGCCTTTGAGATATGGCCACTAAATGCAGAGCCCTGCTGGCCATGTTGGCTCTTGAATGCTGAGGAAAATGCTCTGGTCGCCTGAAAGGCCGGTTTTGCTGCCGTATTGGTGCCAGTATTTGGTCCAGGTCGCTGCTGCTGCTGCTGCGTCTGTAGTTGCTGCTGCTGTGCAGGCCGAGGAGGTTTACCTGTAGATGCCGATGCCAATGCCGCTGTCCATTGCATAGATTGGCTATGTCGTGGTTGAGGCCGTGTAGCCATTGCAGCTGGCCCACTCTTAGCTCTAAAGGTCGAATTAACAGCTACTGACGGTTGTGTCTGCGGCACAAATGCTTTGGCATTGGCGTTCAGGCCTGAGCTGGGCCTCGGAGGCCGAATGCTACTGGGCTTGGTCGATGGGCCGCCAGCTACTGCTCCACCGTGTGGTTTGGAGTGCTTGAAAATACAGTCTGGTCGAGTGCACACGCCGCCATTTTCCTCATTGCGACAAGGTATTTCCGCGGGGTGCTTTGTTCCTTTGCCTACAGCACCCGTATGTCGCTTGCCGCAGTCGTCCAAAGGGCAAGCTCCTGTTTGCGCGTAGCTTTGGCAGATTTCCTCCGTGTTGCGCGCTCCCTCGCTGTGTCGGAACGGACAGCTGCTTCCATTCCGGCAGGAACCATGTAGAAAGAAATGGCAGTCTTGCTTGCCCTTGTCCATTATCTGAAAATAAAAAGACGAAAATACCAAGCTGTTGTCAGACTAATAAATTGTAAAAAGAACAGAAAAGAAAAGCGTGGTTGGTAAGCAGCAAGGGTGTGATGATTTGACAATGCGACCACGAGAAGGATCAGAAGACTAGATGGGGATGGCTGTGGATAGGCGCTATAGTGCGGGTCCTAGCTTTTTGCAGCCTCTGTGCCCGCCTGCTGCTGTTGCGTGAAACGAGAGATGCTGGTGTTTTGTTGGGACTATGCAGCGTTTCACTAGGTAAATGATGCTGGGTTGTAGGCGATGGCTGGGGTATGCGTGCGCATCGCGGATGCCGCAGCTGGACTAGATGGCAGCTGGGCAGTGGCATTACAGACGCCCACACCATGGTCGGCACTGTGCATCTCCGTGCTCTCGTGGCAGCAGGTAGTTTTGGCGCAGCCATTGGAGACAGCAAGCGAAAGAGCAAAGGCGAGCAATCACAGTAGACGTGGCATGCATTCATGATCGCAACACAATATTTATGACAGCTGATGTTTATCTTTGCGGATCGTCGGATCTGAGCGGATCGCTGCTTTCTGATGCTCTGCTGGCGCAATTGGAAGCGCGTAAGACTTCTAATCTTAAGGTTGCGGGTTCGAGCCCCGCGTGGAGCTTTTGTTTTGATCCGCGTCGCATGCTTCACGTGATGTGCGCGTCAGCCGTCTTGTGTGCGTAGAGCAGCGGGCAGACGCGGTGGTGGCTTTATTTTTCTTTTCCCTTGCTTGAGCGAAATTTGCCATTTTTTTCTCATCTTTTGTCTCCACGTTCTGACCCTGTCCCTTTGTCAATCTACTTTACTCATTCATACTGCCTGGTACCTGTGCTGAAATGGAGCTCAACTCACGCCTTGACCAAAGCCTGGACGAAATTATTAAGGAGAACCGCAAACAAAAGTCCCAGGCCAAGGGCAAGAAGAGAGTAGCGGCAAAGAAGGCAACAGCGGTGGCCGCAAAGGCCTCTCCGTCGGGAGCTGCAAAGACAACAGTAAGTACAAGTGCATGGCTGTAGTATTCAGGCAGCCAGAATCGAATTTCATTTTGCTATGCTCAAGCAGCTGTACACCTCATCGCTCTAAACCGCCTGGACTTTGTGTGTGCGTGTTATAGCGGCGCAAGAAGAACGCGTCTAACGGTGCTGCTGCTGGGAATGTGAATGCGGGTATCGCAGCGCGACTGGGCACTGCCAGTAGCCCAGCAAAGGCTATCGGAAAGAGCGCCTCTGGAAGAGTTGGCAAGGCCAAGAAGGCTACAAAGGCAGAGTCTGGCGGTCGTCTTGCGGGTATAGCAGAGAGGAAAAAGGTTCTCGAGCTGAAGAAAAGGGCAGGAGCGCTGAAGGCTGCTCGGCCAAACCTGAACATCTCTATCAAGGGCGAGGCTGGACCGGCCACTATCTTTATCACAAACCTGGATACTGAGGCGTCGGCAGAGGATGTAAAGACTTGCTTCAAGCAGTTTGGCACTGTCAAGAGCTGCACCCTGCTGTATGATCGCAATGGCAAGGCATCGGGACACGCTGAGGTCGTTTACGCGTCAAAGGTGTCTGCTTTGGACGCTGTGGCCAAGCTCAACAACGCGCTGGCTGATGGGCGCAGGCTCTCGGTCCAGATGAAGCCCTCGTCAAAGCCCATTGCCCCCGCTCCCCCGATTCCTGCTTCCTCTGCGGCAGCACATGGCTCATCCCTTGGTCGCAAGAGTGGCCGCAGGAGCAGGAAATCCGGTGCGGGCAACAGGATGGATATCGACTGAATCGGCTACAACAGCGCCTTTTGATGCTTCTATTCATTCACGCTTTTTACTCTATTTTCGACATTGTCCGTGTACGCTGCAGAGTCAATATAGCACATATCCGCACACCATTCACCTTTGTTGCTCAGCAGGAGCCAAGCAAGCGCTAAGCATCAGTGCCAGCCATCGCCAGCAGTTCTATTGTTTTCTAGGTTCGAAGATGTGTGCATGAAAAATGTGTGCATGCAAAATGTGTGGTGGGTGACAAAGAGCTTCACTATGGAGAAAAGCAAGCACGAATAATCCACCGTGTGTCTCACTCTAGCAGCTGTTGTCCAAGAACAGTTATCTACAGCGAATAGCGATAAATGCCCTTACTACAGTGCCGTTAATTTCTAATTGTTTCCCTCTGCCAGCAGCCCCTGGGCTGGTTTTATTCCTCTTGCTGGGGGTGCTAAATTTTGGGCGGCGACACGCACTAGCGCGTGGACTCGCAAACGTTTCTAGGCTGCCTGGAGCTCTATTTTGTTCGAGACCTACATAGCTAAAAGTCTGCGCTGGGTCGACTCACCCGTCTTTGTTTCCGGCTGGGCCATTCTGCCAAGCACGCTGCGCTCCAGAGCTCCAGGGTTTAGCTCCTTTTCAGTCACCTCTGTGGGCTGCGACTGCTGCGAAAGTTTAACAGCCCAGCGATCCGAACAAAGCACTGTGCCAATATATGAAAGACTCAGTGGTGCTATTCTGTATGGCTTCTCATCAGCATAGTTTTACTAGCTATTTGCAGATCTAAGAGAATTGGTGATGCTGTGTCAGCTTTCTTGCTGGTAAACACGGGTGCACAGCGCTGGCCTTACAAGCCACCTTGCTTTCGTTCAGTCTCTGGAGCTGGGAACTCATTGCATACAAATAGCAATAAAAGATTCTTCACCTCTACCACCTTTCTTCCATATAGCACACAGTTTTCTGCTTTCGCTCTACATTTCCTTGTCGCCTCCAATGTCAAGCAATAGCTTATCTGTTGACAAACGGCTCAGAGCAGCATATTCTTCGGGCCCAGTATACACCAAAGCACATTGTGATCTAAAGTCGCGTTCCGAGAAGCGCATCGTGCAAATGAGCGCAGCAATCCGAGCAAAGTCGCAGTGGTTTGACAAGATAACCGACGAGGTGTTTCGCAAGCGTTGCATCAGTGAAGCCAGGGGTCAAAAACTCACCGACAAAGAGATTGACTATGTGTTTGACGAGCTCAAATATTATGCGTCGCTGCGGGTTCCTGGAAGTGGTGTTGAGCCGAGTGGTGTTGACTATGTATGGATATCTGATGCTCTTGTTGGCGAAGAGACCACGAATAAGCTCCGGGCGTACGCAGCCACCCTTGAGAACGGACGGGAGGAATGCAAGGACTGGCACCCAAACAGCAATGGCCAGGTCCTTGATCTGGTCAATCCGTCTCTCTACCCATTGAACTACAAAAAATCCAGCTTTCTCACTGCACCTATTCCTTCACCAGAGGCTGCGGTCAACATCGCCACTTTTGGCAGGTTCCCAGGATCTGTGGAAGCCTGGGGGAATGAGCTCGCTTCTGCTTACAGGGTGTACAACAGCAAATACAAGGACTACAGCCGAGTGTTTTATGTCCCTTGGTGCGAACCTTACAGTTATGAGTCGGAAAGGTTCTGCTGGCTGCCTACCGAGTTTGGTGTAGACGAGTATGGCGCTGTTACAATCGAATCGTATATCAACAACCTCCACCCAGTGAAGCACGCGGCGCTCTACCCGACAATTGCAAGAGTGGTTTCCTACTTTGTCCCAATGGTGGAGCAGGTAGTCACCGATATTGTTCACCGGCGTGGTCGACGTGTAGTTCCTGACTTTCACCGCTGGTATAAACGCAATCACCCAGAGCGGGATCATGGTGACGACGACGACGGCTATGGCGATGACTATGGCAGGAGCCAAGTGTTCATTCCGCCACAACCTGATACATTTGTAACACCAGACAGACCGACCATTCCATACAGTCTCCGCGGTCGGCGTCTACAAGTTATCGTCAAGATGTCAAACATCTACTTGACGCCCGAGAGCCCAACCTATGAAGGAGGTAACTGGGAGGCCAGAGGAATGGCTAACGAGCGGATCGTTGCGACGGGGATATATTACTACGACGTTGAGAACATCGCTGAAAGCAGTCTCGAATTCCGCGAGAGTGTGCAAGAGTTCTGGGAGTATAGCAGAGAGGACTTTAGGGGAACTAGTCTTGCATACGACATTTTCGATGGAGTTGCAAACCCTGACTTTGTTACACTTGAACAGCGAGCTGGCCAAGTAGAGATCAAAAGTGGCCGCTGCATCTGCTTCCCCAATACTTACCAGCACAAAGTTTCGGGGTTCAAGCTGGCTGATCCGACAAAGCCAGGTCACCGCAAGGTTATTGAATTCTTCTTCATCGATCCAGCGACAAGAATCCCTTCTACTGAGATTGTTCCACCGCAGCAGATGGACTGGTGGGCCGACGATGCGCTAGTAGCTGGTCACCTGCATAAGCTGCCACCTAACATCAGGGACACCATAAAGGATAATGTGGACTTCCCAGTCTCGCTCGAGAAGGCGAAAGATATGTGCTTGGAGCTGACTAAAGAGCACGACAAGATGAACACTAGTCTATGGGGTTACTTCGCACAGAGCTTTTATTTTTGAAGGAGCTACACATGTGCACTAGTTATGTTCTTTCCGGTCTGCTACCTCGTGTACCTTGATTGCTAAAGCCTTAGCCAGATCACAGGGCTGCAGCTTCCGCTCAGAAGGTTGCTTCTGCCCAAGCCAGCTCTTTTAGCCAGGTCACTGAGCAGCTGGAGATAGCAGAGTTAAAGTGCGAATGTGGCTATTGCCATTCCGCAACTGATTTTGATGAATAAATTGCAAGCCCTGTTGAACGCCATTCTTGGTGTAGAGCTCGTTTTTAGGTGACAGCTGCCTGCATAAAACGCAGAGACTTCACCAGGCTGTGCCTTATGCAGTGCAACCTGACAGGTCTTGCTTTTGTGTTGATGTGAAAGCGTCGGATTTTAAATACATGGATGCATTCACTGTCTAAAGAACCAAGTGTCTATTCCGTCCACTGACACGCACCCACCTCCTTTTTTCACTAAGAGCGAGTGTCTCAGGTGGGCTCTTCGTTCTTGCTGCCGCCATTGCAACCTCGGATCCTGCCAGTGCCAGCCCGACAGTGTCATCATTACATGCGTCTGCTGGCCAAGACAGCACGCGCTATTCCCTGTACAATTAGCTCATCTCACTTTCAATTTTGCATCATTCTTATTCAGCAAGATAAAGCACTGAGGCCGCCAGGCTATTTGGGCGTTTCAATGCGTACGTATGCACTAGTACGCAACACTGGCGACATTAGTCCAGCTCTCGTTCTGAAGCACTAGCTTCATTGCCGCTGTTTCTGTAGCCATATAAATCTGCACGCCCTTAGACGGCGGAGGGCTTGGCAGAATGGCAACAATGTTGGCGCATGGTGATGGGATAAGGGTAGCCCAGCGTTGGCTGCCGTCACCGAAATCAGCCGCGTACATCCTGAACCGCGTTTGGTTGGACACTGCCAGCGTACTGGGGTTCCTCGCCATGTAGGCGAGCACCTGAGCGAACCTTGACGGCTTCATTTTCACCATGTCGATGAACTCAGCAATATATGACTGGTCAACGTAATCAACGCTCTGCCTGACCTTTATGGCGATGCTGGCCAAGGATGCTGCTGTCGTTGGCACAAGCAGCTCGTCAAGTGTGTTTCTGAGGACAGGCGCGATAATCGAGTTCCCCACAAAAGTATCGGCTGGAATCCCCAGGCGGTGTCGAATGTCGCAAACAATGTTGGTTGCCTGGTGCGT